TAAAGAGTCCTCTCCTGCTGATGTCCAGGTGTATATCAGTATGTAGTGTCTCTACTTTAAAGAGTCCTCTCCTGCTGATGTTCAGGTGTATATCAGTATGTAGTGTCTCTACTTTAAAGAGTCCTCTCCTGCTGATGTTCAGGTGTATATCAGTATGTAGTGTCTCTACTTTAAAGAGTCCTCTCCTGCTGATGTTCAGGTGTATATCAGTATGTAGTGTCTCTACTTTAAAGAGTCCTCTCCTGCTGATGTCCAGGTGTATATCAGTATGTAGTGTCTCTACTTTAAAGAGTCCTCTCCTGCTGATGTTCAGGTGTATATCAGTCTGTAGTGTCTCTACTTTAAAGAGTCCTCTCCTGCTGATGTTCAGGTGTATATCAGTATGTAGTGTCTCTACTTTAAAGAGTCCTCTCCTGCTGATGTTCAGGTGTATATCAGTATGTAGTGTCTCTACTTTAAAGAGTCCTCTCCTGCTGATGTTCAGGTGTATATCAGTATGTAGTGTCTCTACTTTAAAGAGTCCTCTCCTGCTGATGTTCAGGTGTATATCAGTCTGTAGTGTCTCTACTTTAAAGAGTCCTCTCCTGCTGATGTTCAGGTGTATATCAGTCTGTAGTGTCTCTACTTTAAAGAGTCCTCTCCTGCTGATGTTCAGGTGTATATCAGTATGTAGTGTCTCTACTTTAAAGAGTCCTCTCCTGCTGATGTTCAGGTGTATATCAGTATGTAGTGTCTCTACTTTAAAGAGTCCTCTCCTGCTGATGTTCAGGTGTATATCAGTATGTAGTGTATCTACTTTAAAGAGTCCTCTCCTGCTGATGTTCAGGTGTATATCAGTAAGTAGTGCCTCTACTTTAAAGAGTCCTCTCCTGCTGATGTTCAGGTGTATATCAGTATGTAGTGTCTCTACTTTAAAGAGTCCTCTCCTGCTGATGTTCAGGTGTATATCAGTATGTAGTGTCTCTACTTTAAAGAGTCCTCTCCTGCTGATGTTCAGGTGTATATCAGTAAGTAGTGCCTCTACTTTAAAGAGTCCTCTCCTGCTGATGTTCAGGTGTATATCAGTATGTAGTGTCTCTACTTTAAAGAGTCCTCTCCTGCTGATGTTCAGGTGTATATCAGTATGTAGTGTCTCTACTTTAAAGAGTCCTCTCCTGCTGATGTTCAGGTGTATATCAGTATGTAGTGTCTCTACTTTAAAGAGTCCTCTCCTGCTGATGTTCAGGTGTATATCAGTAAGTAGTGTCTCTACTTTAAAGAGTCCTCTCCTCTCTGGTGCTCCTGTAATGAATGTCTCTCTCCATGGTGCTGAAATCATCCTGAAACTGGGAAACAGTGACTTTGAATGCGATAAAACACTCTCTTGATTTAACAAAGAGAAATGTCCAGATGACCTTGAGTTATAGTCCTCACTGCTGCATGTACAAAAAGGGAGTTTTCTTTGGATTGTTTCCTAAAAACGAAGTATTATTTTGACATTTCTCCAAAAGTCCTACAGTAGTATTGAAAGGCAGATTTCTTGTCAATTTAAATAATGCAAAAATATATAGAAATATCGTTTATTAATTGTAATGATCTGGTCTGGTCTTAATGATTTCATTCATTTCACCTGCAACCTATAGTTTAAATTAAACAATGCAAACAATTACAAGGCTATGATGTTGCAAGAAAAGCAAAGAAACCATTGTTCTTTTAGATATAATTAGATCACATTCACCCAAAGTGCTAATTTGGGTTTCTAGAGGAGTGTTTGCATTGCAGTCTTTATATATCTACATCCTTTTAAAAGGACTTGGATGTGTGTGTGTTATTGTCTTTTATGTGTACATGCAAGTGCTTTTCAGAGGCTTCTGGGCTGCAGCACTGGCTTCATGCAGTATTGACTGAAATGTAAAATGAGACACGCATGGCTGAGCTCCGTCAATGAGAGGAGGAGGAGCTGTGGAGCTTCCTCTACTATCACTGTGAGCACACACACACACACACACACACACACACACACACACACACACACACACACACACACACACACACACACACACACACACCCCACACACACACACACACACACACACACACAGATACACCACAAAAAAATAAAAACAAAAAAAAAAAACAAAGAAAAAAAAAACAAAAAAAAAAAAAAACAAAAAAAACAACAAAACACCACACAAAAGATACACAAAAAAAACAACACAACACAACAAGATACACAAAAAAAAAAACACACCAAACACAAACACACACACAAACACAACACACACACACACACACAATACACACACACAATACACACACAGACACTACACACACACAATACACACACAGACACTACACACACACACACAATACACAACACAGATACACACCACACACAAACACACAGATACACACACACACACACACACACACACACACACAACGATACCCAACACACACCACACACACACAGATAACACACCACACACACACACAGATTACACACACACACACACATATACCACAACACACACACCACAGATACACAACACACAACACAGATACAACACACACCAACCCACACCACCACACACACCACAGATACACACAACCACCACACACACACACACACCAGATACACACACCAACACACACACACACACAGATACACACACACACACACACACACCACAGAGATTACACACCCACACACAGACACACACACACACCCACACACACACACACACACACACACACACACACACACACACAGAGAGAGAGAAAGAGATGAGATGTGAAATGAAGAAGAAGAAACAAGGAGGGAGGAGGGGAAATGAAAAGAGAGGAGCCAAGGCAGTAGTAAGGAGGAGGAAAGTACACAAGAGGTAAGGAAACAGAAAACACGAGGAAAAAGGAAAGAAGAGAGGAGGAAGGAGAGGAAGGAGAGGAGTCAACACTAGGGAGAAAGGAAGCAAGGAGGGATTCAGAATATGTAGGAAGTATACTGTTAGAAACATGACATGTAATGCACCTTCATGATGTGCTGTTCCTCTAAAGTGTGCTGTCATAGAGAAAAGGTTTACTGCAGATCGTTAGAAAGCATAAAGGGCAACTCTTAATGACACGTTCAGGTTAGTGTCTCATCGTCTCCTCTGAGCACATCGTCTCCTCTGAGCATCACAACATGACTTCTGCTAACCAGGGGTATTTCCACACCACTATAGTGACATATATATCGTCTCTGTGCAGGTAGACACAAAGTAAACGTTAAGATAATAAATAAAATGCTTCAGCTGTTTTCCTCCTTTGAGAGAAATCAGAAGGATGTATAACCTGCCGCTCCCTGGGTAAAGAGTCCATGCTTTCATGTTCAACAAAGTCTTTATTAAGATAATATTGTACTTTTAACTCCACTACATTTATCCGACAGCGTTTTACATATTCAGATTATTAGCTAATACAAATATATAACACTGATTCTCCAGATAAGGGACAAAACATTATAAGGCCTTCTTTGTGTTTAAAATCATCAATGAATTATTAATGATTAAATGTTAGTGTTAATAGTTGATTGATCCATAAATCAACTTATACGTAAACATTGGTACGTAATATGTTAATGAGCTCCACCATAAGCAGCTATGAACACATGAATGCATCAATGATCATAATCCACTCGTTTAATGGACTATTACGCATTACGTTTGGTACTTTAAGTATATTTTCATTCTTATATTTTGCACTTTTACTCAAATAAGATTTAAAGGCAGGACTTTTACTGTAACAGAGTATTTTCTGATGTTTTTGACACTACTTTAAATCCACTTCATTCATGTGTTAGTGCTGTTGTCATTCTGTTGTCATTATGTTGTCAGGGTGAAATGTTTGACAGGAAATGCTTTCATTTTGAAGTGCAAGTATGTGTCCTGCTCTCGCTCTTTACCTGTTATGTTTTGAAATGAATACGAGTATGTCGAGTGCGTTTTCCCGTCTTCTACCGTTCTTGTTGGAAAACTGTTATATTCATATAAAGTAAAAACGTTCAGTTTGGACAAGACTCGCTTTGTCCTTGTGTGTGTGTGTGTGTGTGTGTGTGTGTGTGTGTGTGTGTGTGTGTGCGTGCGTGCGTGCGTGCGTGCGTGCGTGCGTGCGTGCGTGCGTGCGTGCGTGCGTGCGTGCGTGCGTGCGTGCGTGCGTGCGTGCGTGCGTGCGTGCGTGCGTGCGTGCGTGCGTGCGTGCGTGCGTGCTGGCACAGACCTCCCTCTAATGGGGAGCGAGGTGGAGGGGGGGGGGGGTCGGGATGCCAGAGTGCGGGTTAATCTTGTAATTGGGAGCAAAGGGAGACGGGTTGCCAGGTTGTGATGGCTTCCAGGAGGGAACGTTTAAGAGGGACATCTGTTCCTGCTGCTCTTCCTCTCCTCGTCGTCTTCAGACACAAACATGACAGCGAGACCCCCAAAAGAGTTGAGTGTTACACCACCTGCTCCTCGACTGGACAGAAAGACAGGGTCTGGTTGGAGAAACATAACATATTTATATTTAGAGGGCATCTTTTGGATTTGAAAGGGTTCATCTTGCCAAGGATTTTGTGTAAATTGAAGCCAGTTTGCAAGTTACAGCACGGTCACATGACTTCACGTCGACACCGCTAAGCTAAAGGAGGCTAATGTTGGACGTGATGACGTTTAGTCGTCTCCTTTAGACACTTGTTAGCAACCGCCGTTTTCAAATTCACCAGTGGGGTATTTACTGATGTATTTTATGTCGTAGAACAAAATGTTAAAATCTCTTCAACTTGTGTTAACCTCAGACCTCTTATCAGGATAACAACAATAGAAACACAGTAAAACGATTATCTTCCAGACAAGGGGACAGGAAGTGAGAACATTCTGACTCAGTGTTTGAGGACTCACTCCTGCACCACCTATTGACTAATACAGTCTCATCATGCATTATGATCCAGTGAATGATCCTCAGATACTCTTCCCTGTTTTCATTCTCCTCCTGTGTGTGTGCTTCAGGATACGCCATCTTGCAGTCCATCATGGAGAAGGCGGGACAAAACAACTGGCAGGTCAGCGCCATCTGCGTGGAAAGCTTCAACGACGCGAGTTACCGCCGGCTGCTGGAGGATCTGGACCGGAGGCATGAGAAGAAGTTTGTGATCGACCTCGAGGCCGAGCGGCTGCAGAACATGCTGGAACAGGTGAAGCTACCTTTACACTGCATTTAGGTTTGAGCCGTTATTATTAACAGGTTTGAAAGTGGATTTGTGCTTCAGGGATCATCACTTTGTTTTACCTCCAAATCAACTTCATTTAGGTGATGGACAATTACGCATTCCTTTTTGTTACTTCAAGTATATTTTGATTCTTATACTTTGCACTTTTACTTAACTAAAATGTAAAGGCAGGACTTTTACTGTCTGAGTATTTTCAGATGTTTTTGTCACTACTGTTGCTTAAAAAATCCACTTGCATTCACAGTGTGTGTGTGTGTGTGTGTGTGTGTGTGTGTGTGTGTGTGTGTGTGTGTGTGCGTGCGTGCGTGCGTGCGTGCGTGCGTGCGTGCGTGCGTGCGTGCGTGCGTGCGTGCGTGCGTGCGTGCGTGCGTGCGTGCGTGCGTGCGTGCGTACGTGTGTGAAATGAGCGAAAGTAATTTCATTATTTTGGTAGTAATTCCAGTAAACTGCTCTTTCAATTAGTTTTATTAAAGCATCTGCAGATCAAACCGTGAGCTGATATTTTAATGATCAGATTATTAAATATATGTATTCTGAATGGGAATAATGAGTCTAAAATGATACACTCTCTAATTATATCCAAATAATAGCCATTAGTTATTTTTTCCAAATCATGCAGCGCTACTGAACAGAAATGACAGAAATGAATACTTAACAAACTGTCAGTCTGTGTTGCTCATTAGAGTAAACAGTCTGTTCTGATCTCCGGTGGAGCGGTTTGGCACAAACACACTCAGAATATGATGTTTCTTCCTCCTCCTCCTCCTCTTCCTCCTCTTCCTCCTGTTTCCCCCGGGCGACAGGTGTCTCTGTAAATGTTCAATTATTCAGCAAATCTCCTCGCTGACATCTGTCAGTTATTTACTTCTTTACAGATGTGTGTAGGAGTCTTTCTACTCCTCCCTGCCACAGAATATTCTTATTTATATATATATTTTAAAGCACAGAACAGATGAGAGCTGTGCGACATTACAGAGCAATCAGTAAGAGTACAAAGTGGATCAATCTCAGCTTCAGCTCACAGTGAAACAGGTGAGACGTAAAGCTTCAGCTCACAGTGAAACAGGTGAGACGTAAAGCTTCAGCTCACAGTGAAACAGGTGAGACGTAAAGCTTCAGCTCACAGTGAAACAGGTGAGACGTAAAGCTTCAGTTCACAGTGAAACAGGTGAGACGTAAAGCTTCAGCTCACAGTGAAACAGGTGAGACGTAAAGCTTCAGCTCACAGTGAAACAGGTGAGACGTAAAGCTTCAGCTCACAGTGAAACAGGTGAGACGTAAAGCTTCAGCTCACAGTGAAACAGGTGAGACGTAAAGCTTCAGTTCACAGTGTAACAGGTGAGACGTAAAGCTTCAGCTCACAGTGAAACAGGTGAGACGTAAAGACAGAAAGATGCATCCTTCTATCCTTTCCTAGTTGGAGATGAAAGGTGTTTCCTCCACAAGGAGAGCCATGCAGGGACATGGGGGTCTCTTCAAAATATATTAGATATAAATAAATCAGGTGTCCACCTACTGCAGTTAAACATGATATTGTAAAATGAAAGTAGCCTCAATAAATTCAGGCAGGTACGTCTTCCTATAATATACTGATCTTTGTTTCACTGGAATAAATATCTACCTTTTTATCATCATTTATGCCCAAAATGACCTTAAACCCTTTAATATTGATAAAGAACCATTTTTGAGGATTTGATGCACAAATGAAATACATGTAATAATACAAGTACTCAGATCTTGTACTTGAGTAAAAGTAGAAGTACTCAGATCTTGTACTTGAGTAAAAGTAGAAGTACTCAGATCTTGTACTTGAGTAAAAGTAGAAGTACTCAGATCTTGTACTTGAGTAAAAGTAGAAGTACTCAGATCTTGTTCTTGAGTAAAAGTAGAAGTACTCAGATCTTGTACTTGAGTAAAAGTAGAAGTACTCAGATCTTGTACTTGAGTAAAAGTAGAAGTACTCAGATCTTGTACTTGAGTAAAAGTAGAAGTACTCAGATCTTGTACTTGAGTAAAAGTAGAAGTACTCAGATCTTGTACTTGAGTAACAGTAGAAGTACTCAGATCTTGTACTTGAGTAAAAGTAGAAGTACTCAGATCTTGTACTTGAGTAACAGTAGAAGTACTCAGATCTTGTACTTGAGTAAAAGTAGAAGTACTCAGATCTTGTACTTGAGTAACAGTAGAAGTACTCAGATCTTGTACTTGAGTAACAGTAGAAGTACTCAGATCTTGTACTTGAGTAAAAGTAGAAGTACTCAGATCTTGTACTTGAGTAAAAGTAGAAGTACTCACTTGTACTTAGTTACTTTACACCACTGGTAACTGATTCCCTGACAAAGAGGCATTTGGAGGTTTCTATCAGGATTACAGAGTTAGTTCAAACCTAAAAAGAGCATCTAGTGTTTGTTGTAAAGGATCGGATGTTCTCTCTTCTCTTAGAGCTGTTCTGTAGGATCATACTTTAAGGGTTCTACTGCCTGAATGTGCTTTATGAAAGGCAGGTGTTCCTATATGTTAAATGTAACAGACGACATGTAACCCTCCCAAGTCCTGGATCTATTTCATGGTGTTTTCATCTCTGCATCTGTCCAGCTCCTCCTCTGCAGAACGAGGATCTGTCATTTGACCTCATGAGCTGCTTATTTCCAGCCGGTCAGAACGAGGCTCACGAGCCTCCAGATGTTTCTCTGAATGTCAGAGCACGAGATCTGTGAAAACAAACCTGTTTCATTTACAGACGGGAAGCTAACCTGCTGCAGGCTCATGTGTGAGAAACTGTACCTTAGCTGCAGAGTTTAAAGGTACAACGTGAAACAAGAGAGTTTTTATCAACTTTAATCAAGAAAACGGTACTTTTTACATCTTCTTTGAATATTTGTAAGGTTGTCGTTGTCATGAATTGTATTTTAATTTTAAGCCCAATCTTAGCCAAACTTGGTCTTTTTTTAACTCTATTTACATAAAAGATTCATTTTGAGCAAATGACTCACATCCCATTCAGCGCTTCCTGTAATTATTCACTAATGAAAACATAATGATTATGAATATATTATATTCCATTTCGGCCAATAAATCCCCTGTAACCTTACAAAAACATGGCTTTTAAAATGAATGTCCGAGAAGTTTAAAAGCACTAAATACATCAGCAATGTTAATGTTAAAGCTCTCGAACCTGAATAAACACTAAAGTCAGATGTGGAGCGTTACAGTAAATGTCATCATTAACATAAAGGCTTCAGCAGAAGGTTCAATATAAACGTCCTGTTTTACAAAGATCACTGGCATTAATACATCCTCTAATTATCATCTCTTATGCACAGAATGACCTTCTGGATAAACCATTACACATTTTAGACCTTATTTCAAGCAAACAACGAAAACACACAAAAAAAAACATTGACTTCCAGGTGAAGGACAGGAAGTGCTAAAATGCTGTCAAATGTTTACGTTGAGGACTCATTCCTGCACCACTTTGTAGACTAATAGATGTTAAACGTCTCAGTAGTGTGTTATTGTATTATAATTGTGATACAGATCAATATAAGGTGAGTGTGTTTGATTTGAAATCTTGCATATCGCAGCTGTGTCTTCATCTTAATTGACGCCCGCATTAACCGGACGTCCAGTAGGATTTTCCAGCAGATGTCAGCTCTTTGTGTGTGTGTGTGTGTGTGTGTGTGTGTGTGTGTGTGTGTGTGTGTGTGTGTGTGTGTGTGTGTGTGTATGTGTGTATGTGTGTGTGTGTGTGTGTGTGTTGCGTAGGAGTGTCGAGAAGCATTGGCACGTCTCTGAAAGCGTGAAGTGTTTATTTCCTCGGTGACACGCCTGCCTGTTCATTTGTTTAGACGTCCGATCTTCCATGGATTAAACAACACACACACACACACACACACACACACACACACACACACACACACACACACACACACACACACCTGTCACACGCATCATTTACTGTAATTAACGTATGCTCTGCTGTAATCCACTCACATTAACGTTGAGTTGTGCTTGGCTCCCTGCAGATCGTCAGCGTGGGGAAACATGTCAAAGGCTACCATTACATCATGGCCAACCTGGTGAGGAATATATTCATTTGTCTGTCACTTCATTTCTTTCCTGTATTTCTCTCTTTATTTCCAACATTTGGTTCACTCCCAAATGTTCCTGTGCTTTCTGTGTGTTTATTGTCCAACGATGTCAAGATGTAAAGGCTGTATTGTCATGCAGGGCCGTGGGAAGTAGGGGTACTGAGGGTGCTGCAGCACCCCCTGATGGAGGACAGGGAATCTGCACGTCCACAAGATTAAATGGAAATATAATACAAATATCATTTTTTTTTAAACAAATTTTCAGCCTTGATGTAACAACATTCATAATTAAGTAAAGATAACACCCTTTTCACCCTGGTTACATTTTCCATTTGCCCTGTACGATGTAAGTGATGAAAGTGGGGGATGTTTGCTTATCAGGCGCCCGCAGCTCAAAGCCAAAGTGAGAGAGAGAGAGAGGGCTCACCGGTAGGCTACCGGCGGGGATTGTTGTTAGCTTCGGTTGCGCTAACGGATATAAGAAGCTGTTTCTACAATAATGTGGAGGGAGAGTTCTCTCCTGTCAGCCTGAGAGGCTCAGTGAGGTAAAGGACTCTGAGGGTTTAGATAGTTCACTTTAGTCTCAGTTATCTCCGTGGGTCTCAAACGGTTTGGAAAATGTAACCAAGGCACTCCTTTATAATTATTAGGATAAATAAAAACAGGTTTGAAATCATTCCAGTGTATACTATAGTCTATAGGACAGTAAACCAAACATATCGTTTAAAACTGGAGAGATTAAAAAATATGCATGAATAAATAAATGTTAACTTGGTAAAATAAGATGTAGGCTAAATGAACAACAAAAATAAAACAAGTTACATGTATTTGTTATTGGCTATGGTACATTATTGGTTATGTTCACATGTTTGTTTGTAGCCTTTATTTAACCAGCTTAAAAAATCCCATTGAGATCAACGATCTCTTTTTCAAGGGAGACCTTCGGATATACACATACTTCTTTGATTATTAAAATGTAAACCGATCTTTTTCGAATCATATGGGTTTTTAAAGTTGTACCCCCTAGATCAGGTCTCTAGTAATTGGGCGCTCAAAGTGCACCAGATTGAAGCATTTTACTTTAAAATGTAAAAAAAAAAAAATCTTCCCGGACCCCCCTAGAGGATGTGACGTCCACCCCCCAATTAAAACATGTTCATACAATACTGAATGCATTTGAAGCCTTTTTATATAAACTGTCCACCATGTCAATAAGTTTCTCTTTTTGTAGTGTATTGGTCTAGAGGTTTTTCATTGCCAGCTAAAATCTTGCATATAGGGCAGCCCATTGGTCAGAACCAGCCCTGGTGTCATCCCCACAGCACCCCCCATTTGAAACATGTTCCCACGGCTATGTTGTCATGTGTAAGATAGCTACAGCATATTTTGGCAATGAAAGGAATAATAATTAAATAAAGAAATATCTTGGCAATAATAATAATAATAATAATAATAATAATTATTATTATTATTATTATTATTACTATTAATAATAATAATAATAATAATAATAATATATAAAATTAATAGTAACACTTGTAAAATAAATAAAAAATAAATATATAAATTGATCATAATAATACAAATAATAATAATTGTTCACCCCCCGTCTGAAACCAGAGCCCAGTCTACTCTGATTGGTTGCTGGCCGGCTCTGTTGTGATTGGTCAACCTCTTAGAGATGTCCCGCCCCCTTTAGCCTATCACGTGCAATGTGTAGGAGCGCTAGCCAATTGGAGCGGGATTGTTCCGTAGTGATGTCACTGTATTAGAGAAGTAAACAAAAGTGTCCAATTAATGTGTCTTTATATATCTGAGTTTTTTCAATATATGCTACTTTATACTTCTACTCCTCTGCATTTCAGAAGCTAATATTGTGTTTTTAACTCCATTACATTTATCCGACAGCTTTTTACATATTCAGATTATTAACTAATACAAAAATAGCCTATCACGTACGTACAATGTGTTGGAGCGCTAGCCAATAGGAGCCCGATCATTACATAGTGATGGAGGGCGTTACTCAAAAAGCATAACAGGGCCTCTTTTAATATATTTTTGAATTTTCTGTGTGTTGGTGTCGAGTGTTCCGTAGTGATGTCACAGTGTTCCGTAGTGATGTCACAGTGTTCCGTAGGGATGTCACAGTGTTCTGTAGTGATGTCACAGTGTTCCGTAGTGATGTCACCGTGTTCAGTAGTGATGTCACAGTGTTCCGTAGTGATGTCACCGTGTTCAGTAGTGATGTCACCGTGTTCCGTAGTGATGTCACCGTGTTCCGTACTGATGTCACAGTGTTCCGTAGTGATGTCACAGTGTTCCGTAGTGATGTCACCGTGTTCCGTAGTGATGTCACAGTGTTCCGTAGTGATGTCACAGTGTTCCGTAGTGATGTCACCGTGTTCCGTAGTGATGTCACAGTGTTCCGTAGTGATGTCACAGTGTTCCGGAATGGAAGAATTCCTTTATATATTTTTTTCCAGTTTTTCTGTCCCTGGATTCAGTTTTTCTGTGTTTTCTCTCTCGTTTCCTCCTCAGGGTTTTAAGGGCATTCATCTGGAGAGTTTCATGCATGGCTTGAACCATTAACAAATTCTAAAATTAAAAAAATATTATATTGAAAATAATACAATTCTAAAAAAACAAATTACTCTGTAAAAAAAACATGAAATGACCTTGTTTGAGTTTAAAATGGTGCATAAACACAGGAATTAGGTCTAGGTTGATATAAAGGAAAGGATAAAAGCGTACTGGGGGCTTTTTAAACATAATGTTCTGGAATTTAAGAAGTCATTTGATTTGTTTCCAGTTTTTCTGTCCCTGGATTCAGTTTCTCTCTCTTTTCTCTCCTCAGGGTTTTAAGGACATTAATCTGGAGCGCATTTTTTCCAGTTTTTCTGTCCCTGGATTCAGCGTTTTCTCTGGTTTCTCTCTGGTTTCTCTCCTCAGGGTTTTAAGGACATTAATCTGGAGCGTTTTATGCACGGCGGAGCGAACGTGACGGGCTTCCAGCTGGTGGACTTCAGTAACCCCATGGTCATAAAGCTGATGCAGCGCTGGAACAAACTGGACCAGAGGGAGTACCCCGGCTCCGACGCCCCCCCCAAGGTATGTCTAACGGTAATGCACTTTGTCTGTTTTTTGGGAGGGGATTTTGGGGTATTTTAGGGATTAGAATTAGTGCCGATTCAATGATTGGTTTTGGTGTATAATGGTGCATAAACACAGGAATGAATTTGATTTACAGTAAAGCAGCAACTATCGAACTTTTTGTGAAACCATTATCCAGTTCTTAAAGCAAAAATATTATATTGAAAATAATACAATTCTGAAGAAAAAAAAGACATTATTTATTAAGAAAATGACAAATTACTCTGTAAAAATAACCATACAATGATCTTGTGTTAGTGCTTAATGGTACATAAAGCCAGTAATAAGGTCTAGGTTGATACAAAGGAAAGGGTAAAAGGACCTTTTTAAACAAGCAGCTCTTGCATGGTACATTATATTCAAACAGAGTTCAGTTTGGCTTGATATAAGATGATAAGTCTTAGCAAGATCAGCGGACTTCACAGTGCAAAAACGTACAGTATGCATTCAAAGAAAGGTGCATAGTCGTGTGAATTACTGCACATGCTTTCTGTGCTTTAATAATTCCTGAGGTGACTGGAGTTGTTGCAACAGCGAGAAAACAGCAGATGCAGCAAAGAAAGATAACACCAGGAACAGAACAGTGTCAGATAAGATGAATATAATAATGTGCAAGGTGAGCACACAACACGCACAGAACTGCATTAAAAACTGACTTAATGCAAAAAATAATAAATAGCAAACTGTGATAAAACGTGTGCACACAGCAGCGATCTGCTCCATCTCGTCCAACGCTTTCCTACAGCACAGATGTGACAGATTGACCCACATTGTTCTCTTGCACACGGATTTAAAATGGCACTGGGGCAAGAAGGCATCACGCCACGGTGGTCAGAAAAACCTCCGAGCAGATCTGTGTCCAACTAAGATTTATATTTTAAAATCCAGAAGCAGTGGAGTGGAAACGCTGTGAGTCAGGCAGTGTGTAGTGTGTCGTGTGTGTGATGGATTCAGGGGGTTCAAATTAAAAGTTTACACCACAGGGCGATATCACATGACGGTGTGTGTGTGTGTGTGTGTGTGTGTGTGTGTGTGTGTGTGTGTGTGTGTGTGTGTGTGTGTGTGTGTGTGTGTGTGTGTGTGTGTGTGTGTGTGTGTGTGTGTTTGTGTTTGTGTGTGTGTGTGTGTGTGTGTGTGTGTGTTTGTGTTTGTGTGTGTGTGTGTGTGTGTATCCCCACTCCATTTCTTGATAAATTGCTCTCTCTCTCACTCCTGGAAAATCCACTCAGACTAAATTACTCGGCTCCCCCATTAAGTTTGTCCACAGCGCGGTTTCTTTCTCCTGATATATTAACAGCAGCGGTGAGTTTGGGCTTTCCCCCGGCAGCTTTAACTCACTTTGTGAAGACAAATGCAATGCCTGCTGTTTGAAAGTAACAGCAATCAGCAGGTAGTGAGCTAATGAGAGATTCCTGTGGTTTCACAAAAGTTATCTTTCTATTCACCTCATGCTTCAACTGCTCTAAGGCGTTTCCATAGTGCCTTATTTTTGTTTGTTTGTTTGTAGCCTTTATTTAACCAGGTTAAAAAATCCCATTGAGATCAACGATCTCTTTTTCAAGGGAGACCTGCGGTACATTAGTTACACATAAAAACAAACAGAAAACAAAAGGACATCACAACATAATTACAGGGGTATACATTAGCAACCTATTTACATTGACAGGTATCCAATAACATAAAAGTAACATTTTGTGTTGGTTCTTCCTGTTAAAGCGTAATTGCTATTACATTGCATAGCGTTACCGTCTTTACCAACCTTTAACTGCCAGATAAACAGCTTTTAAGGTTTTTAATAAGCTATTATTAAATAATAACACTTTAAAAGAAAATAAACTAACCATTTAGATTACCAATATGTGATTAGTTTATCCAAATAGCACAAAGTTGGGAATTTACAGCCATGTTTGAGACTTCTGGCTCTGTGAAAGAGACGTCAACACACACGTCAACAATGTTTTTATACTTGCTCTCACTGCCAGAACATAGACACAGGTCCTCACTGCAAGAAATCAAATAGTAATTCAAATTTAAATTCAAGAGAGCCAGTAGTTTTGCCATAGCTAGATAGTAACAATGATCCAGCTAGCTTGATAGATAGGTAGCTAACTTAAGATAGATAACTAGTTAGATTTAAATCGAACGTAATCTAGCTTCTAAAGTAGATAGCTAACTTTCGATAGCAAGCATGTTAGGTAGAAAGCTAATGTAAGCTAGCCAGCTTCTTAGATAGCTAATGTTTGCTAGTTAGCTTGTAAAATACATAGCTAACGTTCTCTAGCTAGCTAGATAGCTAACGTTCACTAGCTAAATAGCATCAGTGCTGTCCGACCAAGATCTTTGCATTCACACCTGGTATTCCTAAGCATTGTTTTGTGGTTTTACACATTTGTTTAGTTTTTAAATAAGGCAGGAGACTTACCATTTCAGATTACCAATGTATGATTAGTTCATCCAGATAACACATATTTGGGAATTGAAAGCCATGTTTAAGACTTAAGAAGCTGTGTGAAAGAAGCCAGTTGTCTTAAAAACAATGTGTTGCTGCCTGAACAGTAGACACAGGTCTTCACTGCAGATTTAATCACATGTAATCAAATAATAATTCAAATTTAAATTACGAGAGCCAGTAATTTGGCCATAACTAGCTAGATAGCCAATATTATCCAGCTAGCTTGTTATAAGATAGATAACTAGTTAGATTTAAATTGAACGTAATCTAGCTTGTAAAGTAGATAGCTAACTTTCGATAGCAAGCATGTTAGGTAGAAAGCTTACGTGACCTAGCCAGCTTTTACATTGCTAATATTCGCTAGTTAGCTTGTAAAATACATTGCTAACGTTCTGTAGTTAGCTAGATAGCTAACGTTCGCTAGCTAAATAGCCGATCAAGATTTTAACATTTATTTATACCTGGTATTTTTACTCTTTTTTTGTTGTTTTACACATTTGTTTAGTTTATAAATGGCTTTAAGTCTGGCTTTCGTCATCTGACTGACCACGGAAAGAATCAATCAAAGAGACAATCATTATTTAATAATAAATAATTATACGTCTGTATTAGCAGTGTGTATTCAGTCCTGCCTTTCATGAGTTTATTCTGCACCTCCAGTGTTTGTGTGTGTGTTTCTTTAGGCGTGCTTGTCAAACAGTAGCATGGGAATAGAGAGCAGCAGAGCGCCATAATGTCACAGTGAGCGGTGGGATAATGAATAGGATCCACCCCGAGCTGGAGGCAAAGTTAATGAACTCCTGATAGCCGGGATAATTAATGCCAGACTTCTTCCCGTTCTGGACAAAACACTCGCCTTTCTCCCCTCTTTTCTCCATCTTCCTGCCTCTCTGGAGGTGAGCTTTAGGGAAATATGTCTCGTGACAGGTAGTGGGATTTGTCTCGATGCAAATAATCAAGGTCAAATAAGGATTAGGGGAGAATGAAAGTGAGTATATGCCCTTTCCTTTTGCAGAAATAATGAGTGAAAGTGCTGCTCCTCTGCAACACGAGGCACTGCAGGAACTCTGTGTGTGTGTGTGTGTGTGTGTGTGTGTGTGTGTGTGTGTGTGTGTGTGTGTGTGTGTGCGTGTGTGTGTGTGTGTGTGTGTGTGTGTGTGTGTGTGTGTGTGTGTGTGTGTGTGTGTGTGTGTGTGTGTGTGTGTGTGTGTGTGTGTGTGTGTGTGTGTGTGTGTGTGTGTATTGTATATACACCAAAACAGACTGAACAGCAAGGGAGCTAAAGACTGTAATTTACAAAATCACATGGTGCTGGGGTTTTGTTTCCACTTAAATAAATCCAATAAGTCTGTGTTGTTGAACACCTGTCGGAGGGTTACTTTAGAAATCTAATCTGTTACAATAACTACATTCCGTTAGTTTCGGATTACCTCATTATCAAATATGATGCAAAATAATAACAAGAGACAATAAACAACAATCAGATGTTTTTGACTTAAGTGAACGTAACAATATAACCATAGAAAAGAAGAAACCAATATGTTTGATATTAAAAATATGGTAGGTAGGTAGGTAGGTAGGTAGGTAGGTAGGTAGGTAGGTAGGTAGGTAGGTAGGTAGGTAGGTAGGTAGGTAGGTAGGTAGGTAGGTAGGTAGGTAGGTAGGTAGGTAGGTAGGTAGGTAGGTAGGTAGGTAGGTAGGTAGGTAGGTAGGTAGGTAGGTAGGTAGGTAGGTAGGTAGGTAGGTAGGTAGGTAGGTAGGTAGGTAGAAAGAAACCACTATATTTGACATAAAAAATGATTACGTAATCTCGTTACATGTAACCTTTTACTCCCCAAACCAGTGTTGTTGTGATGTTCAGTTATTTTCTCTTCTTTGTTCCTCAGTACACGTCAGCGCTGACCTATGACGGGGTGATGGTGATGGCCGAGGCGTTCAGGAATCTCCGCCGGCAGAAAGTAGATATTTCCAGACGGGGAAACGCTGGCGATTGTCTCGCTAACCCCGCCGCCCCGTGGAACCAAGGAATCGATATGGAGCGCACCCTCAAACAGGTGAGAGAGAGAGAGGCAAAAGGAGAGATTTCCTCCTGATTTGAACTAAACTACCCCTAAAATAACAGACTGACGTTATATGCTGTCTAAAAAAAAAAAACGTTAGATATTTCCTACAGTAGCATGCGTAGCGAAGGCAGTAAGTTTACTTAAAAGTAGTAATTCGCAGCTTTTAACTGCAATCTGTTGAGTTGTAATCAATCAATCAAATTATTCAAGGGGCAGGCTTTAATACTTAACCAATTCCTTCCTGTTTTAATACCTGTAACATGACCGTTTTTCCAAATCCTGCTAAAAGACATTAGTCGTTTAATCCTAGATATATTCTTAAGGTGATAGTAGGGTGAATTTGTAATTTTCTCAATGTGACTATACTTTAAATTCTTGTCAGAGTCCATGAATACACCTAGATTTCTGGCTTTTCCCATTGTTTTTAACCGATTTAAGCTCAGCGCTGACTTTATTCGTTCCTTCTTGGCTCCAAAAACAATTACCTAAATTGTATCTTTGTCTAATTGAAGAAAGTTCTGGCACATCCAGTCATTGATTGGTTTAATGCACTTACTCAGTGCTTGTTATGTAAATGTGTAAGTTGTCTGCATAGCTATGGTATCTTATTTTGATGTTTTCCATTATCTGAATCAGTTGTAGCAAGTAGATGTTAAAGAGAAGAGGCCCCAGGATAGAGCCTTGAGGAACCCCACATATCATTATTGTCAACTCAGATGTGTAGATACCTATAGGAACAACGTGTTTCCTTTCCTTTAAGTAGGATTCAAAGGAGTCCCACACAGTTTTCCAGTAGATATAGTAATATGTTGTGGTCAATATGCACTGGTGTAGTGTCATTAATTCTAACATTATCAGTCCAATCTATGGTTTTTTTCAAACAGAAAGAGCTCAACATCTCCTGAAATCCATTTTTGTTACCCCTTCCTTTATTTACATAACAAACATACTTATGTTAAGCCAAACCAAGACGTTTCTCTAATCTAACCAAGCACTTTTGTTTTGGTCCACTTTACCTCACAATAAACACCTTAATCCAGAAGAAATACGTAATTGAGGATGCAGTTATTACAGCCTTGTCTCCTAAGTAATTACATGTCCATACAACAAAATTGCATTGTCAATAATGCATTAATGCCACAATTATTTTGTCCTGCAACATTTGATTGCCCAGTTTACATGTTTTGTGCATGGAGCAACACGTATAATATAATAATAATAATTGGGAGGGATGGGCACCACGGCAGGGCAGGAGGTGAACTGGGACCTCTCCAAGTAGCAGTCCACACTCCATATTTAGGTCTGGTCGGGGGACTTGAACCGGCGACCCTGCAGCTCACAGTCCAAGCCACTACTGACTGAACCACTCAGTCAGTAGTCACTGAGCCACCTGCGTTTTTGCAGAATCACTGTAGTTCTGTCTATCACTCTCAAACAGACTTGACATTTCTAGCTTTAAATATCATACCATCATATCATTATTTCCTGTTCTCCTTCTACAATACAATATAATACAAAGGGGCTTTATTGGCATGACCACATTTTAAACATAATATTGCCAAAGCATTCAGCACAAGGCGTTATAACAGAACAAAACTCAAATCAACACTAAATGTAAATGTCAACAACACATGTGGCACAACAGCATAGCACAAAACATACTGTATATGCCAACAACTCGTTCTGAATGTCTTTTAACACTTTGTGAAAAGCTTGTTTTTTCCCCTTTGAAGGATGTGCTGCAGTATTTCCTTCACCCTTTCTGTGCAGTAAATTAATACTGTTTGTTATTCCTGTGCTGTCCTCAGGTCCGGCTGCAGGGATTAACAGGTAATGTCCAGTTTGACCACTATGGCCGCAGGGTCAACTACACAATGGACGTGTTTGAGCTGAAGAATAATGGACCGCGACGGGTAAAGCACCACAACACACTGCCTACATTTCTGATATGGATGTATATGTGTCTAGTCTCTATATTTTAGCATATGCAATATATTCCTTTTGCTGTCATGTGAAACGTCTGAAGGCTGGGGCGACAACTGAATATATATTGTGACATTTTCTATTATCATAAGTAGGATGTAAAAAAAAAAAAAAGCTATGGGTGTGACAGGATGGATGTCTGCCGGCAGAATTTAGCAGAAAATGGGAAAAAGAGAGAGAGAGAGAGAGAGCGAGAGAGAGAGACAGAGGGATTGTGAGAGTGATGGCGAGAGGATGAAATGAAATAGAGAGCAATCAGGTAGAGGGGGGAGGAAGGGAGGAAGCAGACAGGAAGAACCATCAATCAGACACTGCTTTGGCCTGTCTTTGCACAGCGAGGGTCCTGTCAGGACACAGTGTGGGTGTGTGTGTGTGTGTGTTCCCGTATGTTCCTCAATCATCCCAATGCCCCTACACACAGGAGGCATTGGCCAATCACAGCTCTCCATTCCCGCCGGCTGCCCACCTTGTTCGCTGACTTATAGCGGCTTGTAGTTGCTGTCAAAGCTCTTTGTCTATTAAAAGATCCATCACTTTGACACTGGATTGGTTTATAGAGTGGTGCAGAAATGGGTCCTAAAACACAAATTGAGTCAGTATATTAGCACTTTCTGTTAGCTTGTCTGGAGGTCAATGGTTTTCTGAACATGTTTTTGGATGTACGCCTAAAATAAGGTCTGGGTATGGTTTACACAAGCTGAAGAGATTTTTGTCCTATGATATAAAACACGTCAGTAAATACCCCACGGGTGGATTTAAAAAACGGTGGTTGCTAGCAAGTGTCTAAATGAGACGACTTAACGTCATCACGGGCAACATTTGCCGCCTTTAGCTTAGCGGCGGTGACGTGACGTCATGTGACCGTGCTGTAGTTCCTTTATAGCCCAACATTAGCCTCCTTTAGCTTAGCGGTGGTGGCGTGAAGTCATGTGACTGTGCTGTAGTTCCTTTATAGCCCAACATTAGCCACCTTTAGCTTAGCGGTGGTGACATGAAGTCATGTGACCGTGCTGTAGTTCCTTTATAGCCCAACATTAGCCGCCTTTAGCTTAGCGGTGGTGAAATGAAGTCATGTGACCGTGCTGTAGTTCCTTTATAGCCCAACATTAGCCTCCTTTAGCTTAGCGGTGGTGGCGTGAAGTCATGTGACTGTGCTGTAGTTCCTTTATAGCCCAACATTAGCCACCTTTAGCTTAGCGGTGGTGACATGAAGTCATGTGACCGTGCTGTAGTTCCTTTATAGCCCAACATTAGCCTCCTTTAGCTTAGCGGTGGTGGCGTGAAGTCATGTGACTGTGCTGTAGTTCCTTTATAGCCCAACATTAGCCACCTTTAGCTTAGCGGTGGTGATGTGAAGTCATGTGACCGTGCTGTAGTTCCTTTATAGCCCAACATTAGCCTCCTTTAGCTTAGCGGTGGTGGCGTGAAGTCATGTGACTGTGCTGTAGTTCCTTTATAGCCCAACATTAGCCACCTTTAGCTTAGCGGTGGTGACATGAAGTCATGTGACCGTGCTGTAGTTCCTTTATAGCCCAACATTAGCCGCCTTTAGCTTAGCGGTGGTGAAATGAAGTCATGTGACCGTGCTGTAGTTCCTTTATAGCCCAACATTAGCCGCCTTTAGCTTAGCGGTGGTGACGTGAAGTCATGTGACCGTGCTGTAGTTCCTTTATAGCCCAACATTAGCCGCCTTTAGCTTAGCGGTGGTGACGTGAAGTCATGTGACCGTGCTGTAGTTCCTTTATAGCCCAACATTAGCCTCCTTTAGCTTAGCAGTGGTGACGTGAAGTCATGTGACCGTGCTGTAGTTCCTTTATAGCCCAACATTAGCCACCTTTAGCTTAGTGGTGGTGATGTGAAGTCATGTGACCGTGCTGTAGTTCCTTTATAGCCCAACATTAGCCACCTTTAGCTTAGCGGTGGTGACGTGAAGTCATGTGACCGTGCTGTAGTTCCTTTATAGCCCAACATTAGCCGCCTTTAGCTTAGCGGTGGTGACATGAAGTCATGTGACCGTGCTGTAGTTCCTTTATAGCCCAACATTAGCCGCCTTTAGCTTAGCGGTGGTGACATGAAGTCATGTGACCGTGCTGTAGTTCCTTTATAGCCCAACATTAGCTCTTTAATTCTTAATTATAAAGGAGTGTTAGTAGAGAGGGGGGTAGAGATTATCCTGCTGAACAAACATCATAAACGTTGAGGTTATTTACTTCCTACTCTGAAGTCTAATGGAAAAATCCCATTGTCTTTTCTGTTGAGGGAACTAGAGAGATTCTAACTTCAAAAATACATCATCCCTTCACCACTTTATAAAAAATCCCATTTTGTAGTGCATGCAGCTGCTCTCTACAGACGGAGGATGCAAATGCTGTGACCGCGACATATCATGTCTGTCAGTTCCAGTCGGTCAGTTTGACCCTGAAGGACTGAAGACGACAGATCTGTCAGGAGAACATGAAATGTCTTTCGGAGAAAAGAAGCAGCTCAACATTGGGCTTAAAATTGGAATATTGCATGAGAACAGGGGAATGAGTCAATGTTAAGACTGTTTTAAAGTTGAATCACAGCTTGATGAATGCATGATTTGAAATGACAACAACATGAGCATGAAAGTGCTATTTTGGATTTGGAAACCACAGTTTAACGAAATAATGTTGAATCTACCGACCTGCTGTGACCAAGGCTTTTATATTTAACATTCTTTTCATTTTCAACACAATTCAAAGACCTTCACTGAAAACAAAACGTACCAAACACAGATATATATATATAATAAGATATTGAATGGCTTTTCAGTCAACATTAATTTGACAAACCATACAATACAATAGGTCCAATTCAGGGGAAACATTACCGGATCTTCTCCAAGTTTAATCAAAATCAGGCCATAGCTTTTCTGTAATCCTGCTAACAAATCATCAGGAAAACATGTCATATTTTACAAAGAAATATTTACATTGATCAAGACTCATCATAGAATAAAACCACACATTTTGACACTTACTACTTTGATTGTAGTGAAAATACAAGACTCTTTTTGTGACACATATTTTTTTTTTTCTCACAAATGTTGGCTTTTTCTTGAAATACCACAACGTTAGCATCGAATAGTTGCAGTAGAGAAATAAATAGTTCAGGTGTCAGAGAAGCAATAAGAGTGAAACACAGAATAGAACAGGTAAGAGTTCACACAGGGATAATACATCAAATAAATGTAAGATACATAAGACCATTTTGACTTACCAAAACTTAGCATTTTTGTGACGATATATCAACATAGAGCTTTTCCTCCATGTTCTTTGACATCAAATGATGTCAAGCCAATAGCTCCACTTCCTGTTAACACATCAGGGATTGCATCAAAGCAAATTGTGCATGCTGCATTATACAATATGTTTGCATGCACACATGAACACACACACACACATACACCATCTAACTTCTTGATTTCCCTGCAGATCGGCTACTGGAACGATGCCGACAAACTGGTTCTGATCCAGGACTCTCCGCTGCATCCTAACGACACGTCTGGCATCGAAAACCGAACCGTTGTAGTGACCACCATCATGGTAAGAGACCGGCAAACAAAACACACACACAAACACACACAAACACACACAAACAAACACACACACACATGCAGACCTGTTCTTAGGAATATGTAACGCGAGGAGACTTTACGTAAGGGATAATGTGCAGCGATTATCCCACTTATTACACGGCTATGCACTAAATGAACCGGCGACTTGACTCACAATATTGATTTAAAAAAAGAAAATCCCTTTAGTGTTTACTTCCTGTCTGTCTTCTTCTGCTGTTCCCTTTAGTGTTTACTTCCTGTCTGTCTTCTTCTGTTGTTCCCTTTAGTGTTTACTTCCTGTCTGTCTTCTTCTGTTGTTCCCTTTAGTGTTTACTTCCTGTCTGTCTTCTTCTGCTGTTCCCTTTAGTGTTTACTTCCTGTCTGTCTGTCTTCTTCTGCTGTTCCCTTTAGTGTTTACTTCCTGTCTGTCTTATTCTGTTGTTCCCTTTAGTGTTTACTTCCTGTCTGTCTTCTTCTGTTGTTCCCTTTAGTGTTTACTTTCTGTCTGTCTGTCTTCTTCTGCTGTTCCCTTTAGTGTTTACTTCCTGTCTGTCTTCTTCTGTTGTTCCCTTTAGTGTTTACTTCCTGTCTGTCTTCTTCTGTTGTTCCCTTTAGTGTTTACTTCCTGTCTGTCTGTCTTCTTCTGCTGTTCCCTTTAGTGTTTACTTCCTGTCTGTCTTCTTCTGTTGTTCCCTTTAGTGTTTACTTCCTGTCTGTCTTCTTCTGTTGTTCCCTTTAGTGTTTACTTCCTGTCTGTCTTCTTCTGCTGTTCCCTTTAGTGTTTACTTCCTGTCTGTCTTCTCCTGTTGTTCCCTTTAGTGTTTACTTCCTGTCTGTCTTCTTCTGTTGTTCCCTTTAGTGTTTACTTCCTGTCTGTCTGTCTTCTTCTGCTGTTCCCTTTAGTGTTTACTTCCTGTCTGTCTTCTTCTGTTGTTCCCTTTAGTGTTTACTTCCTGTCTGTCTTCTTCTGTTGTTCCCTTTAGTGTTTACTTCCTGTCTGTCTTCTTCTGCTGTTCCCTTTAGTGTTTACTTCCTGTCTGTCTTCTTCTGTTGTTCCCTTTAGTGTTTACTTCCCGTCTGTCTTCTTCTGCTGTTCCCTTTAGTGTTTACTTCCTGTCTGTCTTCTTCTGCTGTTCCCTTTAGTGTTTACTTACTGTCTGAAAATATATTATACTTTATTTTTTTGGCCACAGCTGGCGTTAAATTGACCGGACTGATATGACTGCACATAGTCCCTTGATCCTCCTTAGCAACGGTCTGTTCTCCTTAGCAACGGTCTGTTCTCCTTAGAAACAGTCTGCGAGCAAAAAATAGCAGACCCCCAGAATGTCCAAATTGACCAATCAGCATTGAGCATTCAACTAAGCCGTGTAATCATACCTAGTAAATCTTATAAGCAGTATAAGCAGAGTCAAGATTTCAGTGGCTATACATCACACATCCTTCTTCATAAATCTTTATTTACAACCTGACATAATATGGTGTTCACCGGCCTCTTGTTAAGTACCTCCGTTTTAAGTATTACTTTGAATTTGGAAGTTTTCCTCTGTTACGCCTTTTCCTGATTAGCCTTGAATTCCTCGGTAATTCTTCTTTTTGACGCCACATTTTATCATTGATGCAAACATACTATACTTTTACATTTTAAAAACAAAACTGCTTTGGGATTTAAGGCATACAATAAGGCATGTTTCTTTGCTTGGATTTACTTGTACTGCCTGTAGAGGAATTAGTTTGTATATTGAGCAAAGTTCATGTATGGTAGACCAATTTAAAAACCAAACAGTAAAATATTTGTTTGGGTTACCAGCCTTCAACTGGGAGCAATCCATAAAAAAATACCAATTATACACCAATAGACGCCCCAATATACCAGAATTAAAGAGCAGCTACGATAGGGAAATGTGTGTTTTGGATATCCCACTTAACTCCTTGAACATCACATTGATTACATCCTAGAATTTATAGGAAATATGCAAACTGTGGGCTGATTTCAGCTCTTACCCTCCCCCCGAAGGCCCTTGTGTTGAGTGCTATGACTGACAAATGTTCAGGGATTAAACATGCTTTGTTACAACATAATCAGTAAAGAGACTCTTAAAGAAATGGGCTTTTCTTGTTATTACCTCAATAGAAACTACTCCAGAATCAACTACCGTCACTTACATTCTCTTTTATGGCACCAATAAACATCTTGCTGAGCAGTCACACAGCTGCTGTTACTGAGGTCCCTATTGCACGGATAAAAGACTTCATAAAACACAGCTTCAGAATCAGAACATTTTTCACACATGACAGGAAATGAATGGTATTTGCATGGTCTATATGTGGCTGTAGCAGTGACTCTGACATGCAGGACAACAGGCAGGTTGAGCTGATTGCAGGAGGGAAGGAGGTGAACATGGAGAGTCACAGCTCAGCACAATCCTCCCTCTTTCCAGCCCCTGATGAGGAACCCCATTTTAAGAAACTGAGCCCCAGTTGGACGCAAGCAGGATTTGAAAAGCCCCTTAATGGCAGTGATGGAAACAGCTACCCCTCACGCCCGAGCCCAAATGAAGCCCTAAAGACACGGGGCGAGAGGAGACACACTGCAACATTGTTAATGGAGAAAGTGAACGAGAAATGGAGCAACTCAGAGGCGTAATGGAGCCGCTCGAGAGGAAAATGAAATGCAAATGGAGGGAGGAAGACACTGTCTTTTTTAAAGACGGTGCTCACGGATGGAAACCCATTGAGGCTCTCTGACAGCACAGTATCTGTTCACTAAACCAGCTCCACTACACCTGTGTGTTAGAGTCATGCATTGTGTGTTTGTGTGGCTTGAATCCCATCCTGAGTTGAAGAAGCCTAGAATATTCAGCTGATGAAGCACCGACCCTTTTACCACTTATGGTTCAAACGCAAAAGTGTCAGTTCTTCCAGTTTTTATTTGGGATCATTCACCGCTACAATTTAACTATGTAATTGTTTTACTGTACCACATCAACCCTCTGTTAGAGGTTGTAGGATGACATGAAAATGGCCCAAAATCTTACATGACCAAATTTTTTGCTAACTATCACAGCACAGAATCACATCAGCCGGTCGTACTGCAGAAAGCTCATGTGGACAATTTATAAAGACTCTCACTGCCACAGTTTTCAAATGAGTCAAAACAAGTCTTCATAGCTGAATCCAATTCAGTCAGTGTGCTATTTAGCTAGCAAATGTAGCTATCAAGCTAACTTGCGGATGTTAGCTATCTATCTAACAAGCTAGCTAGCTAACGTTTCTTATCTGATGAGTAAACTAGCTTGTGTTAGTTAACAATCTTATTTGAAAGCTAGCTTACGTGTGCTATCTATTCAACTAGTTAGCTAGCTTAAGTTAGCTACCTATCCAATAAGCTGGCTAGCCAATGTTCAACACAGTCTCACGGCATTTCGTGTTATAGTCACGAAATGAATCTATTTAAAAGCAATGTAAATAATAACAAATTTGAAGGAAAAAAAGATGACATAAAATACAGATGTCAGTATTCTGAGGCTCTGAGCCATTTCTTTTCCTCGCGAACTTACCTACCCCACCTTTAAGGTAAGATATTGAGTAAGAACATGTTTTTATGAACCACACAGCTTCTGGTCTTCCAAGACCCGACCGGACAAAAAGACGTGTTGCAGGCACGAAACATACTACCAATAGAAATACATTGCTTTTAAAATCGTTCTGTGTGACACGAAAAAAAGGTGAAAATCGTGTTGGTGAACACGAATCAATAGATTACATTAATTTCGTGACAACACGAAATGCCGTGAGACTGGGTTGCAATGTTAGCTAAAGTTAGCTACCGCCACATTTGTCGATCTCATGATTTAAATTGAAATATTATTTATATCTCGATGATTATCTTGCAATGCAGGATTGTGTCTGCCCTTCTGGCTGAAACCAACCGGCTGCTCTCAAACAGCAGCAGCTCCAAACATGGCTGTAAATTCCCAAATATGCGTCATTTGGACAAACTATTCACAGATCGGTAACCTATTACAAGTTAATTCAGAAGCTTATAAACAGTTTCTTTGGCAAGTAATGTTTGATAAAGCTAAGTCATAGTAATTACAGTTTAACCAGATGTACCAACATATTAAGGCAATGCTGAGCGCCCTACAGCAGCACAAGGTGTCACTTCCTCTGACTACCTGCCCCAGCGTACAGTCCATTACACACTTCCTGTTAGCATTAAAACAGCTTAGAAAGACTGATGCTCTCATAATCATCCCTTTTCATATCCATCAGGCTTTTATGCAGCATGGTATTACAGTAACATTACAGTTACGGCTGCCTTTCACGCTTTAACTGTTGGTGAGAGTCATGTTTGTTTAAACTTAATGAAGTGTCCCAGTGGTATATTGCAGCAGTCCTCCTTTCCGTGTTTTAGGAGCAGTTAGCAAGCCTTATCATAAATCACTTCATCATCAGAGCGTAAAGGCAAATAGCTTCTGTCCAATTTAGAGTTTTTAAATACACATCTCCACACATAAGCACAACGACTGATCTCGTGTAATTAACATAAGCACAACGACTGATCTCGTTAACAATCAACTACCGAAGGGAAACTACAATGATCATCCTTTCAGCCATCATTAAGACAAATTAACAATAGTTAATTAAGTTAATGATAGTTCATAACAAACATCCTTTTCTGGAATTAACATAAATTCAATTTGTATCTATCATGTGCTTTCAGACATATGCGTCATCACTGCACCACTCTATTAAGTTGGTCCTGTAACGTGTGTGTGTGTGTGTGTGTGTGTGTGTGTGTGTGTGTGTGTGTGTGTGTGTGTGTGTGTGTGTGTGTGTGTGTGTGTGTGTGTGTGTGTGTGTGTGTGTGTGTGTGTGTGTGTGTGTGTGTGTGTGTGTGTGTGTGTGTGTGTGTGTGTGTTAATGGCATGTTTAATTAGCCTCGTTAGGCCGTGAGTGAAGCAGTGTGTTTGGGATCATTGAGCG